CATAAAGACTGTTTTCACTCATTTTTGATGACTGTCAGTAATTTTTGAAAATGAATTTTGTTAGCCTAGGTCGGCCAACAACGCAATGTGTAGGCCTCATGATGCCATTGAATGTAACTATAGGGTGACGACTTTCTCATTTCAATCTGAGAAAAGCTCCACTACCAGTTGTAAATCATTCAGGCATTACTGATAACTTTTAAGACTACTCACATAAATGATAGGTGATGTCGACATTATGATAGATAAAAATCTTCCTTATCAAATAGCCCAAAGAATTGTGCTTGTGGGGAGGTCTGGACAGCCTTGAAGGTCACCGGTGGATGTGTTTCGCCACTTGACGCGTACGAAATGGGTTTTAATCCAATTTGATTGTGAAAAAATTTCATTTTCAGTCCTTAACTCATTTCAACCGCGATATGGAGGCTAAGTTCCTACCTATACTGATGACATCTTCGAGAAGAAATCTAGAACCGTCGTCCAAATCAGGTTGCTGAGTCGTATTGTGTTTGTGTCGCCGACTTGGCGGTCGATGAGAAACAGGAGGGCACATAACAAGACAGTCTAAAGAGGAGAATGTGTTGACCAAACGACACTTGTTCACACTCTCGGAAAGAACATGAAGAACTAAGTCCATTCTGCATCCTCTGCCATTGAGGCCGATTTTTGGTTTAGCCTCGGACCAGATGCTTTATCAACAATGATAGATCATGCAGCGGAATTCTATTTTATAATCTGAACAAGTTGCAAAATGTGATTAAATCAAATTTATACAGTAAAAAGATAATTCCGCCCGACCAAAAATTTCAACAACTTAGACTCCACAACTTTTAGCAACTTTTAGCGCTTTACGAGGTATCAGGAAATGTATCAAAATAAATTAGATGGAAAATATTCCAATTAATTTAAATGAATGCAGGACACAAAAAATTATTATCTACGAGGTTTTGAAAGATAAGGAAGAGGGTGAGCATGTAGATAAATTTATAAGGCTCAATTGTGATTACACTTCTGTCTCATTATAGGAATAACTATATAACTTATAACTATATAATAACCAAAAACATTAATGTAAACTTTGCAGACATCTGATTCTGCACATTAAGCTCATT